GCCGGCCCGCGCGCCGCGCCCTCCGGCGCACGGGGGCGCCCTCCGGCGCGCGAGCTGCGTGAGCGCCCCGGGGGTCACTTCGCGTCCTTGCCCTCCTGCGCCTGCTCGAGAGGAGGCCTCCCACATGGGGTCCGAGCGGCCGGGGTCGGAGGATCGCGCCGCATGGCCGATGCGTCGGCGACGTCGACGCGGAGAAACTTGGGCTCCACAGCGAGCCGCATCGGCGACGCATCGGCGATGCGCCGCGATCCTCCGAACCCGTCTGCTCCGACCCCTTCTAGGAGGCCCAGGCTCTAAAGGGACAGGAGCGGCATCCGCACAAACTGTTTTGGGGAATCCGCGCGGGCTTCTTGGATCGGCGCTGGCCCCCCCTCCCTGGCGCGCGATGCGCGTCAGGGGGTCTGGGCCCTTGAGCAGCTATTTGTTACGTGCTCGACCGTGGACCGCTCTGACTACCTACCAGACCACCCCAACCCAACCCGAAGACCCGAATTTCGGGTTGGGGGGGGTACGGGTTCCATATGTGTTTTCTCGAGGTTCCCCGACCCCCCCCAACTGGAAATGGAGGTCAAATCGAGACCTTCGGGTTGGGTTGGGGTGGTTTGGTGGGTGGTGACGCTCGTCCCCCGTCGCTCCTGGAACGTCTTCGGCGGTCTTCGGCTGCCTCAAAGGCCGGTCTTCGGCAGTCCTCGTTGGTCTTCGGCGGCGTTCCCGGGGCGCCCGGGGAGGCCCACGACGCGGCGGGGGGGGGAGGAGGAGGAGGAGGAGGAGGAGGAGGAGGAGGAGGAGGGAGGGAGGAGGAGGAGGAGGGAGGAGGAGGAGGAGGAGGAGGAGGAGGAGGAGGAGGAGGAGGAGGAGAGGAGGAGGGAGGAGGAGGAGGAGGAGGAGGAGGAGGAGGAGGAGGAGGAGGGGAGGAGAGGGAGGAGGAGGAGGAGGAGAAGAGGGGGAGGCGGAGGGGGAGGAGGAGGAGGAGGAGGAGGAGGAGGAGGAGGAGGAGGAGGAGGAGGAGAAGGAGGAGGAGGAGGGATGGATGGAGGGAGGGATGGAAACATGAAGCAGGAAGGCGGATGTAGTGGATTGGGTCCAGGTCCTCCCAGAGAATGACAAACCACAGCAGAAGCATGCCGACTCTTGAAGCAGGACGGCACTTGAAGTAGATTGGGATCTGGGAATCCAGAAATACCTACTTTCAACGACCGGCGTGTATTCGAAAGCATTTAAAAACGTAGTCTGGGGACGATTCTTCGATTATTGTTTGACCCTTTCGGACTATGTTTTGTTGGGTATCTCTTGTATCGTTCGTCCAGAGCCCGCCTGTACAGGGGGACATGCCCGACCTAAACCCAGCCCAGATTTCCAGGACGTCCATGCTTTTCTTTGTTGGTGCGGGGGCGTCGCGTCTGTGAGCGTTTTGTGATTCGGCATCTCGACGTTGGGCAGAGGGGGGAGGGGGGTGGAGGGTCTTGCTCCCGACCCTCTGCTGAGTGCGACTGCTCGCAACGGTGCGGCCTCTGGGAGAGGGACTTCCCCATGCCTGAGACAGGCGCCAAAAGCAGCCAGAATCTACTCCACGGGGGGGGGGGAGACGCCCATGTCTTTCCCCGAGCAGTGCATGCACTGAAGGGGCCCTAGCGGAAATCGACAAACTTGGCGAAAGCGTCCCGCCGATTTTGGTAGCCGCCTGGGTTCCCCGGTTCCCGGTTCCAGGTTCCCGGTTCCGGGTTCCCGGTTCCGGGTTCCCCGGTTCCTGCGGTCAATAGTTCCGAGCCGATTTCGGTGGGTTCCAGGTTCCCAGGTTCCCGGGTTCCCGGTCGACCTCCTTATCGATCTCGTTATGGATTCCATTTCAAACCATCCACTGGTTGGGGTTTTCTCTGTTTTTTGTGGTGTGGGGACGTCACGTCTTGTATCGTAGAACCATCGAAACCCAAGAAACCGAGCGCACCCTGGAGGCAAGCAGGGTGCTTCTTGGCATCGGCTTCCGCCTGCTCGCTTGCCACGCGCGTCGAAGGATCGGGGGCCCAGCGGCCCCGCCGAATACCGACAGCGTCCCGACCCTCGCGACGTTCTAATGCTGTGTCGGGTCTTGCTTTACTGGTGGATACGGTCAACCCGCACAGTTAGGATGGGCAACCTTCCCAAGGGTGCCCTTGCATCCTTGCCCCTTCGCCCCATCCTTGGCCGCTTTCGCTGGCCGCGCCACGCTCGAGAAGCCTCGAAATGGCCCTCCAAGGCCCTTGCATCCTTGTCGTGCGTCCTTCTGATGCGTGTTGGCTGTATTTTGAGCGTCAAGGTTCGTAACCCTCAGATCGGATGTTGCTGAAGTGCACACGCCCCTCCAGTCAGAGTTCTGGAACGCTTGCGAGCCCTGTGTGGCCTTCTCCTGCTTCGGGGGCTCCTGCTCGGGATCGGGGAGAAGGAGCTTCAGCGTGTCCACGACGAGGAACGTGACCCCGAGGAGAGGGATGAGCAGGGCGGCCTTGATGAGAGTCGCCTGGTTCAGCTCAAAGCCCGACGCCGCACCTGTGTAGTCCACGCCCTGGATGCCCTGCTCCAAGCCCCCTCTTTGCCGTGAAGGAAAGCTGGGTCCTGACGCAAACGGGTTCTGGACCCTGGGACTGTTCCTTGGGACCAACGACCAACTCTCCATCCCGTTGGGCCTCAAAATAAGTACGGAAAAACTGGGCACGATGCCAGGCACCACATGCTGTCCATAACCGACAGTGGCCGCTGTTGGGAAGGTGGCGTTCTGTCTCACATGGGCATCGCCCGGGGCGGCACCGACAACGAACACTGCTCAGAATGAACAGAAACTGCTGTCGGTCTCTGTCAAGACATAGGCAGACTCGAGACAACACCGGACCGATCTACATCGGAAATCTCTGATGATCGGCGGGCTTGTAGGAAGCATCGAGCGACTCGGCCATCTCGGAGCGTTCTGGAATGCTTGGAGAGCGTTCCGGGACGATCTGGAACGAATCTATCTCGACTCTAGGCCCGTCCGATCCGTGCCCATCCTTTCCGTGCCCATCTCGATCCGGCGGGCCCAACGGCGGCCGGAAACCCTCCAACACCCGCTTTGCTCCACGGCGGCGCCTGGCTCCAGGGCCGCGCGGCGCATCCTGCCACGCCCGCCGCCGCCCGCGGGGCGCAAGGCCGCGAGCTCGGCCGCGGGCCCGGGCGTGGCGAAGGCCCGGCCGGCCGCCGCGGCGAAGGCCGCGGCGGCCGCCGCCAGCAGCAGCAGCAGCAGCGGCGGCGGCGGCCGCGGTGCGCGCTGGCCGCCCCGCCCGCGCCGCAGCGGTCGCGCGCGCGCGCGGGGGGCCGCGCGTGCGCCCATCGAGGGCGTCGGCGCGCCCGGAGCGGGCACGGATAAGATCGGCACGGCGCCCGGCAGTCGGGCACGCGTCTGCGTGGATCAGGCTGCCGTGGATCCGGCGCGCGGATGGCGACGGAGCGCGCCGACGTCGTATGGAGGCGGGGCCCGCCGCCACTCCAAGAGCCTTGACCCACGGCTGCCCCAAACCGACGGCGGCCGCCGTTGGGCGAGGACCTCATGTGGAAAGCGGCCCGCCCTCCGTCCGTGCAGCTCTTTCACGCACGTCAGCTCAGAGATCATCAGCGGTGGAGAAATCCCAAACGAACCCCCTGGCCCCCCTATGCCGACACGCCTCGGGGCGCGACAGGGAGGAGTTAGCTTGAAGGAGAAGGAATAGAGGAGGAGGAGGAGGAGGAGGAGGAGGAGGAGGAGGAGGAGGAGGAGGAGGAGGAGGAGGAGGAGGAGGAGGAGGAGGAGGAAGAGGAGGATATGATAAACGACGGATCCAGGAAGAACAACATCCGGCAGAGCGGGGATCAAGCGTCGAGTGTTCATTGGGGCGCACAGTGAAGCCCTCAAGTAATGCCCTCGCTGCGCGCTGTGAGTCCTGCTCAGGATGGGCAGGGACTCGGCGGTGGCCAGGGGGTCCGAACAAATCTTGCAAAACGGCAAGAGGAAGACACCAGCAGGAGGCCAGTCAAGAGAACCCGCCCTCTGAGTGGCCGTTCTGTCGCCGACTCTGCTTGGGCACGGCGCATCCCCGGCGGACACGCCCTCGGGGTGAGCGCGCTTCCGCTGGACGCTCAAATCCAGTCAGGCGATCAAGAGGGGGGACGAATCGAGATCCGCTCGAAATCGGTCCCAGGCCCTCCCAATGGTATGAACGCACTTTTTTCCGAGCCGCGTATGAGGTCCAAAAGGGACGAGAAAAAGGCTCCCTCACTTCCCCCCCTTTGTGCTGGCCAGGACCAAAGATGGGTTTGGGTCTCACCTGATTATTTCACAGCTCTGCGGGGCCAAATCAGGCTTGCATATGCAAGCCATGCACATGCGGTCGTTAGGCGTGCGTGAAAGCATGCCTGACAATTGCATACCCCAAACTCGAAATCAACATATCCAAGACACTCACCATCATCGAAGCAATGCCGCCTCGGGCACACCCTCGACGGAATAAGGCTGTCTGGGGCACACCGAGCATCGAAACACGACGGCCACCACTCCGCGACGCCGCCACCCACCACGCCCACCACGCCCCCCCCCGGTGCCCAGGAGGAGGAGGAGGAGGAGGAGGAGGAGGAGGAGGAGGAGGAGGAGGAGGAGGAGGAGGAGGAGACGCCACCGCCGCCCACCACGTCGCCACGCCACTGCCGCCCCACCACGCCGCCGAGCCGAGCCGCCCCAGACACCCCCCCGCCGCCTCCGAGCAGCCCCTCGGCTCTGGGGCCTCCGTGGGCCGCTCACATTCCCCCTCTGCCCCTCTCCGACGCCCTCCCGCGGGGGGCCCCTTGTCCGGCGGCCGGCAGCGCGGCGCTCGGCGGGCGCCGCGTGGGGGGGGGGGGCCCGCCCCGGGCGGGAGGCTCTCTGCGGAGCCCCCCGAGCGGCTGCGGGCGGGGAGGTCGATGGAGGTGGCACGGCCGCGCAGGGGAGGGGGGAGAGGGAGGGGCAGGGGGAAGGGGAGGAGGAAGAGCGCCCCGTGGCTTGCGAGCAGCATCCGCTCCGCCGCCGCCGCGGGTCGCGGACCGACGCCTAAGCGGGCTCCGAATGGGCAAGGCGCAGGCTCCTCTCCGCCGCTTTCGCCATCGAGAAGGCCGCCTCGACCGGCACAACGTCCACGTCTATCAGGCAAGCAGTGTGGCACAGCTGGTACGGTAAGGGCATTAAAAAAAAACTCTTCGAGCACCCGCGAGCAGGCGCGTGGTCATGCATTCAATTCCACAAGGGGGAAGGAGGGCGAGAGGGCAAGGCACGTCTAGCGGCCGCACGATGCCCACGACCACCTTCACGAGTCGCCCTGTCGCCTGGCGTGCTCCAGGGCCGCGAGCGCCGCTCTCACAGCTTCTCGCTGTGGGTCCAGCCGTCGCGGCGAGGCACGCTCTGACTCGAGCGATTCGAACAGCAGGACCTGGGCCTCCAGCGCCCTCTCGAGGCGGGCGCACTCCAGATCCCGCACCTTGGGCACCGCTGCGCCGTGCACAGCCTCTGCCTGCTTGCCTTCGGGCTCCGCTTCGCCAGACTCGGGCTCCTCGATCGGGTCGAAGAGCTGCGCGGTCTCACATGCGGTGCCCGACAGTTTGCTGGGGTGCCGAATCAACTGCACGTCAGCCTGGCTGGCGGAGCTCACGGATACACCGACCCCTAGCATCTCTTCGAAGCAGGTGAAGAGCTCCGCGAGATCGGCGCTGGGTCCGTGCGCCGCCGCCGCCTGCTTGCTGAAGTGCGCCGCGACGTCCTGCCCCTCCTCAGGGTCCGCCGCGCCCATGGCCTCCGCGCCGAAGCTGTCGGCGAGGCCGCTGGCGGTGACGAACTCTTCGGAAACGCAGGTGGAGGCGCCCTCAACGCTGTGATGCGCAAGGTCCGCCACCTCGTCGTCCTGCTCTGCCGCCTCCAGCCGCTCGGGGCCGAACGACTCAGAGGCTCCTTCGGCCAGCCGCCAGCCCGCCGCCCACCCCTGGACGAAGGCCTCCGCCTCCGCCAACGGCTCGGAGGTGTGCCACATGCCAGGCGCCAGCCCTGGGCCCGCGGGAATAGCCTCCTTGTCAGAACAGATGGGAAATGTTCCCAAGCCCCCAGGTACTAGGCCCTCTGGGGTGGCTCCGTGCAGCTGCCCTTGGGCGTCGGGGAGGTCTTGCAGACCAGTGCCTCCCTGACCTCCCAGCCCTGGCCGCGGAGCGCGCTCTGCCGCCAGGGCATCGGCCTGCGCCAGGAGCCTCGGCTCCAACTCGGCCACGTGGAACACCCGAGCATGAAAGGGCAAGCCGCCTCCCGCCCGCGGATCCTGGGTCTCGAGAGCCCCGGAAGCCCCACGGGTAGCCAGCACCTCCGCCCAGCTGCTCTCGACCGTGTCCCCGTCCTCCACGTCGTCGGAAGCTCCAGTCGCCACTGCGGCGCGCTCCAGCCTCGGCCCCTGCTGAGCGGCGCGGAGCTCGGCAGCCTTGGCCACCAGGATCCGCGCACCCGGCGCCGCGGCGTGCAGCGCGAAGTTGCGGCGCAGCTTCTGCAACCAGGTCGGCGCCCGTCCAGCCACCAAAGCCGCCAGAGCTGGCAGCAGGCAGCGGATGCGCGCGCCGACCTCCGCGTCGCCGACGAGCGTGTCGATGGCCTCCTCGGCTTCCAACCTGCGGCGGTCGGCGTCCGCGAGCTGCCGCTGCAGCCTCGCGACCAAACGATCCGCCGCCGCACGGGCTCCAGCTGCGCCCCGCAGTGGCGCTGCTGAGCCCCCTCCCGCAGCCATTCCAAGAGGTCCCGCGCGGCCGAAGACGGCGGAAACACGACTTGAGCCAAAATGGCTACGGACGGTAAGGGCATTGGATAAGGAACCGTGGGGTAAGGAATCCAGGGTCTGGATTCCAGTGGAACTCCATTGTGGAGTGGCCATGGGCATCACCGACGCCCTAATCAGGTAAGGAACCCTCCAAGGTCTGAAGCCTCCTGGGCGCATTCCTTAACCAACGCCCCCACCGTGGGCCACCACCAAGCAGTCGTATTGTAATCGACTTTGATGAGTACTAAGGCAGAGCCTCGTCTGAGGCACCCACCGCGCGTCGAACCGCTCCCCAAAGACTTCTGCAGGCAACGTAATGTTTGAGACGAACCTTCTCGGCACAGCAACCAACTATGGAAGGCCGACGGCCACGGTCTCCCAAAACCCGCCACCACGTCATCCGGGCATTAGAGCACGACCGGAGAATTGGCCACGTCCAAGAAGTGGGCCATTTCATGAGCTCCAAGCGCTTCGCGTCCCAGTCGATGGCATTTATCAGGGGCGCATACTGATGCCACCACTCCAGAGACTTCGCCTTCGCCCACGACACCATCGCAGCATGCGAGGACAAACGATTACGAAGAGCAAGATGAACAGCTTGCTGGAACAAGGACTTGCGCAGCGACAGAGACGTACCGGCGGCGTCGGCGGCGTCCTCATCGTCACGGAGGTGGCGTCGCAAGCCTGAAATGCCGGCTGCACTGCGCGATGGCGTCGGGGTGGTAACGGCGGCGCCGGTGGCGTCGGCGTCGTGACGGCGTAGGCGTCGCACCGGCGGCGTAGGTGTCGTAACGGCGGCGTCGGCGGCGTCGACGTCGTAACGGCATAAGCCAGCTGCCAACCTCTCCATTTGAATAGCTTCACGCCTGTTTCGAAGGAGATCACAGTCAACGCCAGGCACTCAGGAGCAAGCACGAACAGCATGAAGACGTTCAACGAAGCTGGGAACTCGCCAAAAACTAGGGTAGAGCCGCGTAAGCACACCATCAGACCCGAACATCGTAACCGGGAGCGAAAGTTCTTGTCCCAAGACATTCTCGCGGTACTGATGGTAAAGCCGCTCGACCACATCACCGAACGTAATCCACGCAGCCCTGATGAGGGCACAGCGAAATAACAAACCAAGTATCAATGCGGGGACCGCCCCAGTCGCGAACACGCAAGAACTGAGCCTTCTGCATCGCACCCAAAGGCAGACGAAATGTGGACGCCAGCACGCCCAACTCCTTCGAGCGCAGCTGCTTGGGCAGCGGGACCAGCTGGCTAACGTATGAGAGGCACGAACTGCAGCGAGACGCGCAATGAAAGGCTAACGCCGAAGCAGGAGCGGAACTCCGCCCCAGGGCCAAGCTACGAGTCACCACCTTTGCCACAGGAGCTCGAAACTGACACAGATCATCAGCAGCAGGTCCAAGCCACAGCCCCTGGTATTTCAGACAGTCGATGATTTGAAATTGGGACCACTGCGGCACCAGCACAGCAAGCTGAGATTGCACCAGCTCTCTAATCGCATCAGAAAACGCAGCGAGCACAGGTGGAGGAGTAAGAGGAGGAGGAGGAGGAGGAGGAGGACGGATGAGGAGGAGGAGGAGGAGGAGGAGGAGGACGGATGAGGAGCAGCAGCAGGAGGAGGGAGCGACGACAAGAGAAAGGGGTCTTGTGCGAGGCCCTCGTGGCCGAGGCCATGTGGATCTGCCGCTGGGCCCCGGTCTGGCCCGACCAGGTGCGGCGGTGACATTCCAGGTGCGGCGGTGACATTTAGAGGAGCCCTCTGCCGAAGCCAGGCTTTGCCGAAGAGATCCAGGTCGCCTGCGCAGCGAGGCCGGGCGAGCGACGACAAGAGAGGCTTCTCACGCCAGATGGCGCAGCGACCCCTTGCGCGGTGGCTTACGCGTGGGCCGCCGGCGCAGGGGGCGCTCACGCGCGACCCTGCGCGGGCAGCTTATACGCGCGCATGTGAGCGCAGTCGGCCCCGTGGTCGTCCGTCGCTCAGGCGTGGGGAGGCCCTCAGGGGCAGGGCGTCAGGCCTGGCGCGACGGCGCCCAGCTTGCCTGCCGCCTTTCACCTGCCCTCTTTCCTTGCTTTCGACAAAAAGGGTATGGCAGCTTTCGAAATTCCTTCCTGGATTGCGAAACAGGAATGGCAGCTTTCGAAGTTCCTCCCTTGGATTGGAAAACCCTCTTTCCTTGCTGTCGAAAAAGGAATGGCAGCTTTCCAATCCATAAACAGTGGCTGTCTTGGATTGGAGCTGGACTCCGTTTGGCCTGGGCCCCTGCTGGAATCGTGCAAGCGAGGGGCGCCGCGGATGGGGAGATGCAGGGCTGCTCAGACGTCAGACCTGCTCAAAACATCCTCGGGAGGGAGAGAGCATCAGAGACCAGAATGAAAGAATGAAGGGTTCATGCATTTGCAGTCGGCGACTTTTTGCCGCTTGTTTCGTCAAGGGGCGTCCAAGAGAGGAGCTCGCAAATCATGGCCCGAGGCATGTGCGCGGACGAGGGTGTGGACCAGGGAACGTGTTGGAAGA